GCATATCTTTCGGTGGGCCTCCGCAGCTCGCTTGCCTTTCTTGAAGTAATAAAGCAAAATGTGCCGAAAATGCACCTTATTCTCCGACATGTTCACAGGTCTATAGCACAAACAAAACTAATGCCAATGAAACCAAATTTGACAGATGAAAAGAGCGGACTGTCACCTTTCCAAAACATATTTGGATTGCCCGATTAGGCAACCAGAACCGGAGATATTCGGAAAAAATTTGCACTACTAACAAAAAGCGAACGAATATATGGATCCACCCAATATTTTCAATTATTAATTTAAAATTATTCTAAAAAAAAAATTTTAATTCATTATTTAAGTTGAGGGAGATTCATCAGTTTCATTCGTATAGTATAGTTAATAGTAAGAACGCTCCTAAGATGAAGCGGTACGCTCGTTGTTTACAAGCATCCGACGATTCGTTGCTAGGCAAGAGGGGAACAGTGGGCGTCGTCAACGAAATCAAGCTGAAATGTGCAACTTGATCCTAGTTCTGATTTAAATCATTGAGTAATTAATTATTTAATAACCTAAATGTCACATTATGTTGCCAACTATAGAACACGATAATTTTTTCATAAAATCTATCTTATTCTAACATATATGGTAGGGACATTCTGGATTAAATTATATAATTTCTTCTAAACATTATATTGTTTTTATCATATAGCTTAAATATCGTTTTTAATCGTAAATTTCAGATTACTTACCTGCTATATTTGATAAACTTTCTGTATTTGTCTATCGTTTTCGTCATATAGCTTAGGTACCGTTTTGAATCTATTTCTATCATGTTTTATTAAAATTAATAATATGCTATCATGTAAATCATTTTTTAATCATAAATTTATATACAAATAACTCGTCTAAAATACGTGACATATTTTCTTTATTTCTATATTGTTATTTATTTCTATATTCTATATTTATATTTCTGTATTGTTTTTATTATACAACTTAAATATCGGTTTTAATCAATTATTTTAGTCGTGTGTTCTATCAAAATTAATATTCTATCATACGAGGGCAAGACAATAAGTTTTTAGAAAAACATAGTAAAACACATTTTCTTTGATCGACTTAATTTTTATTTTCCAACATAATCTCCTTTCAGCTCGATACACTTGATCCAACGATACTCCAACTTTTTTAAGCCGTCCGAATAAATTTATTCAATTGTATACAGTCGCAAATGCTCGTGCAGATGTGTTATGAATATTATCCAGCTTTGATTTTTTTCGGCGTTGAACCTTTCATATGTATATGTTTGATCACAAAACTCGTTTTTTTCTATTTTGCAAAAAATGCAAAGGTTGTTTGCTTTAATCGGCTACAGAAATGAAACCACGCGATGAATTCCGTTCAAAATTTGACAGTAATCAGCTGAAAGATGCTACTTGTCAAAAAGTAATGTGACATGATACTGCGAGTGTCCTCTGACAGATTTTCTAAGAACTTATTGAGTGCTCTCATATCTTTAATTGTAAATTCTGAAATTTAAGATTAAATTTTAGATTCTAAAATTTACAAAGCAAAAATACGAAAGAATTACTTTTGATGGAACATGATCAGATAGAAATTGATTGAAAACTATATCTGAGCTTACGATAATGATACAGAAGAAAACTCTATAAAATATTTTAGATAAGTAATTTGAAATTTACAATTCAAAAAGACGATAGGATATTATTAATTATTAATTTTCATAAAACGTGACCAGATAGAATTTGTTTAAAAACGATAATTAAGCTACATGATGAAAATGATAAAGAAATATAGAAAATTTATATCAGGCAAGTAATCCAAAATTTGAGATTAAAAATGATACTTAAAGTATATGATAAAATATATGATAAAGTAAACGTGATACTGTTTATAAAAATCTATATAACTTAATCCAGAAATATCTCTATAATTACCACATGTTAAAATATCTAGACAAGCGTGCGATTATAGTTCAGCGTTAGAGTGCTAAACTATTACCTCGTAGGTCTTAGGTTCGAATCCCATCGATTTCGATATGCGTTTTCAAAAATTGTAAATTTTCGATGCATATATTATATGTAATTGTAATTAATAAATTGCATGTGAAAAATATAAATAAATTCTACAAAAAAGTAATAAAAAAAGAACTGTATTTTAATTATTATAAAAAACTTTTTTTTAAAAATACTTAATATAAAATTTACGATTAAAACTATATAATACTATTAATGATGATAAAACATAATCAGACAGAAATTGATTAAAAACGATATCTAAGCCGTGCGACAAAAACGATAGAGAAATATAGAAAATCTATCAGATATTTCAGATAAGTAATTTGAAATTTACGAACCAAAAACACAATTTAATCAAATAAAAGTTTTTTCCTATCTGATTTTGTCGGACTTTTTAAGCAGGATTCTGGTATTACAGTCTAGCTTTTATCGAAAATATTATCATATACATTTGCGTTTCACATATTTGAAAACAATTTACAAAGCATCAAATCTCACTAACTTCTATATTTTAACATTCATCTTCTTTACCGTTAATTATCAAATGTCGTTCATAATTCATCAATTCTTTAAGTGTAACTCATACTAAGTTGATAAAGCACAACGTCACCAGAGATTCGTAAAGTATCCGCGTTCGATGATTCCAGTTTGTGTTTAAATTCGCCGATCATCTTGTTAGCTAGCCATATCGTATATCCTTCATATTCACAGCGAATGCTATCAAATACATGCATGTTATCATGGAAAGTAAACAATACCTTTATCATATGAATTCTTGTAGG